AACATTACAGTTATGAAGTAGCAACGAAAATAATTTTATGGTTGGGTCACAACATGAGGAACTGTATTTAAAGGGCCAGAAGGTAAACCAATGGCAATTAATATTTTGATGAAGTAAGATCAATAGTGCATAATTAAAAAAACAAAATCGGTAGCATTTGAACTCCTATTAAGAGTTATTCTACTATAGTAAAAGAGAAAGAAAAAGGGAGACTTCAGGAACAAATCTATTTGAAGGCTTGTTCATTTTTCAGTCTTCTAGTAATGTTACCTATGGGCCTTGTTTCCTATAACACTAACATTTTCTTCTGGTTGGCTAGAAAAGGGTGTGCAACTAAAATATAATCCTGTCCATGTTCATGTATATGGAGGAGGTGCTTCCTGCTAAGGCAGGCCAAGAAGTTTGTATGTTCTGTTAAAATAGATTAGGCAGGTTCATTTAGAGGAGACTGATTAACTACATCCAGTGAATCCAGGGAGTGCAAGACCACCAATATGTGTGAACTATTAATCACAGTTATTATTTTTCCTAAGAAAAGGATTTCCTTAGTCAAACCTCCAGGGTATGGCCCCACATGCTTCATGACAAATAAGTACCCCTGTACGATGTAGACTAGTTAAAAAGAATTAGCATACTGATTTTCTAAGCTTTAGCTTTGTCTGGCATGCAACCTTCTAACCCAAAGAGCTTTTTGGTTGGTATTGTGAGTTCACCTTCTTTCAGGATAAAGTCATTTGAAAAGCTTCCCATCTTCACAGTATATGCCCTATTCCCCAACTTACCTCATTATCCTTCTTGGCTGTTTGCTAGTGAGAGATCTACACATGTCCCCATCATTTTGAGAAGTATAACTCTAAGACATAGACTTTTCAAGGAGAACCAACTCCAAAAGAGATCACTAATAAGCATGGGCAGTGAATCCAGGGAGTGCAAGACCACCAATATGTGTGAACTTATTAATCATTATTATTTTTCCTAAGAAAAGGATTTCCTTAGTCAAACCTCCAGGGCATCAGATCAAAGGGAGATACTGCTACAGCTGGACTATGTTTTCCAGCCAAATGGCTCAGAAAGGAGAATCTAGACAGTGTCCTGGCAACTGTTTGACCCAGCAGCAATCCATAACAGACAGGAAAAAAATTCTTTAGACTAACTTGTTAAAAGGCTTTCTTTACTTCTCCTTATTTTTAAGGACAGTTTGAGTGATGTCAAAATGCTAGGGGATATCGTTGGTAAGCACTCTATAAGAATTACTGACCCTGAGAATTCAGAGCATCTATATATATAAAAGCCTAACCAACCTTTCAACCATTCAACTGGTAGCTATGATGTGCACTAACCACCAGGAGGCAGATACTCTACACACAGGCATGGAAACATGGAACAGACTGATGAATTTCAGAGGGAAGGGGGGAGGAGCGAGGGTGGGGAGAGATTAACCAAAGACCTTTTATGCATACTAGAGTCCCGGTGTATGGATTTGTGCACTGGTGGGGTCCCTCAGCCTAGCCTGCAGGGATCAGGCTGAAACCGGCAGTCCAACATCCCCCGAGGGGTCCTAGATTGCAAGAGGGTGCAGGCCAGGCTGAGGGACCCCACTGGTGCACAAATCCGTGCACCAGACCTCTAGTTCTTCTATATAGAAACAAAAGGTTGTGGTTCACAGTACAGATTGCTTTTTTTTTTTTTTAAAGACGATATATTTATATTTAATTATCACAAAAATGTATATCCCCAATCTATTGGCAGAGTACTTGGTCAATTTTCTATTTCAAAGTTGATGTAAGTCTCTATAAACCTTACCAGGACACTGTAAAATCACTCTAGATAGAATATTAATAAAATCACAACAGGAGAAATTTAGTTATATGCCCTGGAAGTTCTCCCAAAATGTATTTAAAAATTATAAAAGTGACTATTAACACACAAGAAAAAAAAATCCACAAAACCCAAATCCCATTATGTCAGAAGCATAGCAAAACACACAGGAATCATGTGAAATGAGAAATCAGAAGGCACACCAAATGATTTTATGAATTACAGAGAAACATGATGTGAAAATGATTGTGCAAAAAACAATGAAAGCAAACAAACAAACAAAAAACATTTCTATAGTTAAAGAAAGCCGTTTCTCACCGTTCTGAACAAAATGGCTGAACTAAGATCATCTGATTGGCTATGCCCATATACCCTCCTCCTCATCCTATGGGGAGAGAGATGACGAAGGGAACAATGCCCCAGAGCAGCATGGGAATGAAAAAGAGTTGGTTAGTATTTAAAACAAAGACATAAGCATAAGTAGTAGAAGAAAATGGACTCTAATTTCTTGACTCTTTTTTAGTTTGTTGTTACACTTCTATGCTTCCTACTTTCCCAAGATGTTATATCCATTCCAGGGCTTGACTGGACAAAATTATCAAGTTGGAGACTTTTCTTTATTATTTGCCTTTCTTCAGCCTTTCTCCATTTTTGTTTGCCTCCCACTACTCCCAGGCATCCAATTACTTGTATTTATTATCAAACCTGTTTCAAGGAAAGGCTCTAATGCTTATCTTGTCTACACTGGCACACATTTAATCCCAGGGATCCAGTAGCAGACGGAGAAAGTATAACGACTTCTTGGCAAAACAAGACTGCTGACCTCAGGCAGACAACTCTCCATCTGCCTACATTAAAGATAGGCTTGCCTAAATATAAGGCTCGACTCAACGGGCTTAGTAAATGTCATCTACCTTCTGAATCTCAGAAAAAAAAATGCAGTTTGGATATTATTGCTGCTTTCATCTGCAATATTTCTTCTTCTTCTCCTAAGATAACACCATGGCCATCGTTTAGTAGAGATGTTTAGTAGGGGAGTTTCATTTGACTTTTTGATCATATGGATATAATTATTTAACTATTATTATATTCTCCCTCAGCTATTATTTTAAGATTGTGATGGAGATGTTGAAATCTGATTGTTGGCTATGGGACATGAGGTAATCTGTTCACCACTCTCCCCCATCCATCATTTTCAAGATCTTGGGAGAGTTCCATTTTTTTCAAAAAACTATATAGAGTTGAATATGGTTCCCTTCAGACTCATCAATGCCTCTTTTGCATTGATGAGAAGTGGAAGGCAACAATTTCCTTTGAAAATGACATATACTGGAGGGATCCACGAAGGTGATGGAGTGAAGAAACTATGTTTTAATCTTCATGGTTAATAGATGATGAGCAGAGACTTTAAAATTTGCAATTAAAGAATAGCTACCTTTGCCCTGAGTTGTGCCTCACTGAGCTCGCAAGACTCTTATTTTTCTAATAAGGCATTATTTATTTAGTGAGAAAAGCAGGACTGTTACAAATTAGTATGTGTCTTTGAGAAGATTAAGGTTTTTTTCTCAACCCAATTCAAAGATTCTTTATTGTGTTCAAATATTTTTACTACCTCCTCTTAATATATTCAGAATCATCCATTATCTTCCTGTACAGAAATTGAATCTGTGTTTTTTAAAAAATGATGGAATTTTCAAAAACTGATTATTTTTATAACTTATATCCCAGAATCTATAGCACAACAGTACAGAATACATAAAAATAGAAGCATATCATTTTTTTTTTAAATAAAACATTCAAGAGCAGACTTACCTGGTCTGGGGAGGGTTTATGATTGGTTTGATTGGAATGAGAGGATTTGAAGTAGTCGTCCTCATAGTTGTCTGCCATTAGCTTCATTCGATTTTGTGTCTAAGAAGAAATGATTCATAAGGTTACATTTAGATGAAAATTCTATGACACTGTAAAGTAACAAAGGCCTTAAGAATGTCATAAGAAAGGATAAAACTAATCCTGTCTGAGATAAAATAAACAGGATTTCTGAGGATATGGGGGAGGTTTAGGTACAGCTATGGACTGAATATTCCTCCCCTCCCCCCAAAATTCACATTGGAGCCTATCCCCTAATGTGACTGTATATGAAGATAGAGTCTTTAGGAGGTATTTAAGATTAAATGAGGTCACAAGAGTGAGGCCCTAATTGGACAGGATTGTGGCCCTGTAAGACGAAAGATACCCCTTCCCCCCACACTGCATTTTTCTCTCTGCCATGTGAGGACATAGTAAGAATGTGGCTTTTTCAGCCAGGAAGAGAGCTCTCATCAGGAAATGAATCAGCTGGCACCTTGATCTTGGACTTCCCAGCCTCCAGAATTGTGAGAAAATAGTAAGCCACCAACTCTATGGTATTTTCCTATGGCAGCCTGAGCAAACTAAGACAAGGTCCTAAATTGGTACAGGATTTTTTCTTTTCTTTTTCTG